CAGAGAGTTATTCAATAATTTAAGCTTTATAAATATTAGCTCCTCCCTCTGTTATTGTCTATGTGGCAAGTAGACCAAACTTTTGGGGTTAGTAAAATCAAATGTCACAGTTAAGACTTGGATGGATGGATGGATGGATGGATGGAGTTATTTTAAATTGTAAAAATACTACACAATATTACTGTTTTTACTTCTTTTTTTTTGGCGAGCCTTGGTGACAATATAAGAGACTTCTTTCAAAAAACATTAAAACAGTCTTACTGACCCCAGTGTTTTTTTCACCAAAAAACAAAACAAAAATTTGGGCAAATATATTTTTTTTTACATGGCTTAATCCCAGAAGCAGTCCGTTCTGACTGCATTCTTGCTGTTCAAATCTTTCACACAGACTCAATGGGTGGTAAAGGCTCCCAGACTCCACTGATTCTTAACACCACCAACATAATACAGAACTACCACATGACACCCCTCCAGACGGCTGTATCAGAGCTCTGTGGGCAGGAACATGGCGACTAGTCACTGTTTTTTTTTTCTCTCTCTCTGCCATTTCCGCTTCCCTCAACCCAGTCCATGCCATTAATAAAATGATGGCCTCTGAACAGTCAGGATTCATGACTGCAGTTATATTCAACATGCATCAAGAGAGGAAACAGAGCCAACATGGAGCCAGTCAAACTAGCTGCATTTACACAGCTTAACCAGGTAGGAGGACATTAAAAAACGAGACATAAAAGGTTTCAGAAGTGGCGAAGTGTGTGCTGCAGTGCGATAACGCTCCACTATCTTCCTCATACTGACTGGAGATGTGTTCAGAGCCCTACTTTCTCTTCAACCCCAACCAGGAACCTAAAGTCAGAACAGCTCTCATGTGTCCTGAGGAGGGAGTTAGGATGGGGGGTCCCTATACTTCTCTACTATCTCCATTTCCATACTGCATCTATCCACTGACCAAATTTGACTTCCCTTCACTTTTAATATCTCAATCGAGTAATCACCCGCACCTGCTTAACAAAATGCTGTCCATGCAAACTGGCCGCTCAAAGTGCAGATGGGACTTGCGTTTATTTCAATTGCTGATTGCTGATAATGACTATGCATTTGCAATGTGTGTGCGAATGAAGAAATATGCTGACATTAGCAGTCTTGGGCCTGAAAACATTATACTTTACACTGAAAGGAATATATTTATACACATTTGGCAGATAGGTGAAATGTGCACTCAACAGCATTCAACGCAGTGTATGTGTGCACTGGCATCAGACCCCAGGGAATTGGTCTACTGCATAGGGATATGCAAATATGTTCTAGTTTTGAATCTTAGGAGCCATATTTGATTCAAAAGCTGCAGTGAAGGTGAAGAACATCAGTAAATGCTGCCTAAATGTATGCTTTGTTCCTGACCCAAAGCTATCAGAAGACTTCACATACTTGTATGGTGCTTTTATTGAGCTTTTTTTTATATTGACCTCCCATGGTCACAATGAAATGTCATTGTATGAGAAAGATCTTTGTGAATTTGTGTTCCACAGGTTTGAAACTGAAGGAATTAAATGGAATAAGTATAATTTTCTTCTTTTCATCATCGATTTTTAAGTTTCAAATTTAAACTAAATCAAGAGATTCCTAAATAAAACAACTATGTCAAGATTCCTAAAAGGGATAGGTCTCACACACACACACACACACACACACACACACACCCTAACACAAAGGAACGTTTTTTTGTTTTTTAATCCATGTAATAAAAATTAATGGGAAAGCCAAAAATCCATATAGTGAAATTCAATGGGATCCAAAACAGCATTAAACCCCTTTTTCATATTATGGCAAAAATAAATAAATAAATAAATGTAAAAAGTTAATTTTGGGTGAACTATCTTTTTAAAGTAGCACAATACTGAACATGTTTCAAAAAGGTTGTACGGTAGGCTCCAAACTAGAATCCATTAATGTTTGGTGTACGTTTCAATTATGCATTAACATTCTAATGAGGGTTTTTCTTATCTTTGTTCAGATGTGTGCTGATGTGCATGGAAAGGGCAAAAAGAGTCATAAAAAAAAGAGTTGAAGAGAAAAATCAATACCATGTCTCAAATTGCCCTACAAATGGTTGCATTAGGTGTCTCTAAAGGAAATAAGAGGCAGAGAGAAAGAACATGTGGAATAAAACATTGCTGCCAGTCCTCAACATCAACAACACACATATTGACAATGTGTTTACTGGCAAAGGTTGTAATCAGAGACTGCATTTGCCTAAATCAGTGACAGGGATGCAAACCAAAATAATAATAATAATGATAATTTATTAACTAAAGTGCAACATGGCTGATATTGTCTGATACAGAACAGGGTACCGTAGTTTACTGTTGTTATCAGTGATACTGGGTAACACACACTTCACTGTCTGTACCGGTCAATATGAATCCTCTCAGCTTATCTCTCCCTTAAGTCACAGGCGGCACATTAAAGCCTTTCTGCAGTAATTGCAGCTGTCTTGGAGGCTTTCAATAACTGGATGGCTCTGACTATAAGCCAGCACATCACCGGCTTCAAAAAGGACTGTGTTTAAGCATGTCATGATTGACAGACAAAAGGTTTTAACTCCTGTGCAGTGCCGAAAATCCTGTACCTAATTTGGTGTTCACAGTCAAAAAATGTCCTGTCTCTTAAAAAATGCTTGTAAATCTCTCATTATGCTACAGTATATTATCACCCAATCTTGCATTCAATCTTTTTGTCAACTTCTTTTCTTTCAATTAGCACAGGTTTTGTATTTCCTTTTGGATCTGACTGGTCATAGGCCTCATTGATCTAAGCTTAAACACCTTTTTGAGTGGGGAAAAAATATTTGTAATTATTTGTGTATAATTTTGACAATATTGCCTCAAAAACTGAGATGCATAAGCTCAGATCAATAAGGCCTCAATTAGTTCCAAAAAGAGATACCAAATGTGCTAATAAAACAAGAAATAAAAACAAGAAACAAAACAAGCTGATAAAAATATTGAATCCAATATTTGGTGATAATATACCATAAGAAATTAACAAGCAATTTTTTGTAGGCCGATCATTTTTGACAGGGAACATCACAAGTGTAACATAATGAGAAAAAAAAATCCGAAATGAGTACAAAAATTATAAAAAAAATTTGAGAAGTTGTCATACCCTGTATGAGCAAAGTCATTAAGTTTTAGTCCAATGCGATAACATTAATTAGCATTTTGGGGAAAAATAAAAATGTTCTGGTCCAAAATGACCGGAACACAACATTAAGGCTTTTGTCAGCAAATCCAAACTCTGGTGAATTTATAAATTACAACAGATTAATTAAACTGAATTAGAAAATTTAAGGATAAAAATAGAATAAAATAAAATTAAATTCAAAAGTTCGTGGTCATTTAATAATTTCTTCAGCAAGGACACATTAAATTTATCAACTGTATCACAGTTATCACCAAAAGCACTAAAAGCATTAAGCAGCACAACTGTTTTTAACACTGATTATAGGAAATTTAAATGATTTTTAAATGATATTTAAATGATTTCTGAAGTATCATGTGACACTGACGAAAAATCCAGGAATAAAAGTACATTTTAAAATATATTCAAATGGAAATGTTATTTTAAATCACAATAATACTGTTTTTACTGTATTTTTAAGCATAAGAGATAAACATTTTAAAACATTAAATACAGTGTGCATATATAAATATTCTCTCTAATTTTACTGAAGAAAATTTGGAATTCTTTGCGGTGATAAAAAAACTCTACTGCCACAGCCTAAGAAGTTGAGACTTTATGGAAGTAACGACTGGAACAGATCCACAAGCTGATACACATTCTGCATGGTGATCATCAACAACACCCAGAGAAATCCACAAAAAGCTGGGAGGAGGGTCTTTTTGCTACTTCACAACATCTCTAAAAGGCTTCAGATGGAGACAACAAAATAAAGCCGGGATCAGAATCCCTGGAGAGAAGCAGTGCCTTCCGTACCATGGCAGCATCCATTGTTTACTCTCACAGTGTGAATCATACTCTCCGCAGCGCAATCCCAGACTTAAGTCCCACAGATCTGAGGACAGCTAAGACATTCTGGAGGCTCAATTCATCTGGTAGGAGGTTTTGAATGACGACAGGGGGCAGAATGTGAGGGGAAATCAGAGCTGAGTTACCCTGCTAAACATTAACTTACCTACTCAAATCACTTGCAACGCTAGGACTCATTCAACCATACCAATGGATAACTGACCCAGTCATCACCGTCATCATAGAGAAACAATACCAGGCAGAGTCTGCAGGCTGCAGCTACACAAGTTCTCTCAATGGCACACACTGGGTGTGTCTCAACAACCAGATTATTTATTTATTTATTCATTCTGTAAGTACGCAAGCTAAACTTTACACAACACTGGAGTCTCCAAATGCATTCAAATGGGCATTTATGAAACTTTAATACCATCTTGATTGTACATTATTAAAAACACCAGAGACTTTAGAGGTTTGACTGCAGTACATAGCCCTTCACTGGATTAATGAAATCCAGTGATTTACATCAATCGTTTATATTTTTACATTAAAAAAGCATTAAAGCAATATTATGAAATAAAAATGAATTAAATAGCTTTAAATAGACTTTAAAAGTCTTTAAACATGATAATCAGTTAAACTGATTTGTTTATTAGGCTATTATTTAAATAAGTGGCCCATTTGCCAAATCAGCAATACATATCTGAAGGACAAATGCAAATACAAAAATCACAAAAAAGCTGACAAGAGCGCTTATTTATCAGAAAAATTAAACTTTAATAAAATGAAATATGTGAATCCCATAACACGTCAAATAATATGCCACACTAGATCCACTGGCCTTTGAATTCGATGTTTAATAACATTTTATCATCATGTTCAAGTCAAGCAGGTGTATACAGACGCAAGTAAATAATCAATAATATGCTTGTTATTAAAACTTCCCTTGGCAATTCCAGTAAGACACTCACCGCTTTGCTCTCCAAGAAAGACGAGTTTGAATTTCCTTAAAGGGTTTCCAAAGTCATTACCCACAGACATGTTTGAGGGCTTGTTTTTTAACAGCGTGTTCCCACCGGTGTAAATGTCTGGATGGGGCAGCGCGATGGAAAAAGCGGCGCTCCTGTGCGTTTGGAAACGAGAATGCTGCACTGGATCGGCTGTCAGGCTTAATAGCGTCTGCGCATGCGCGGCCTCACCTCTCTCTC